TATTAGAACTTTGTTTCTCTATGGCTGAATGATACTTCATTGTATGTGTGAACCATATTTTGTTTACCCATTCATCTGTTATGGACATTTAGTTTGCTTTTACTTTATGGCTAGTGCTGCAATGAACATTGGCATCACCATTTTATCACGAACTTGAGGAAGGTGAAGAGATACAATGTCTATATCTCCTGAATATATCCCCTATGAAGTGGCTGATGTCCATAACAGGACACTTTTCTGTGACTTACTCAATGGATTTTAATTTGGGCCATTTGAAAGTAGAATTTTCTTGGGGGTAAAACCCATGTTTTTGATGCTTCACTCAGAGTAAATCGCAAGCCAAACCCACTGCCATGGAGTTGATTCTAACTCATAGATACAACTCATAGTGACCCTCTAGGGCAGAGTAGGGTTGTCAAGGCTGTAATCATTTCAGAAGCAGACTGCCACATCTTTCTCCCACAGAGTGGCTGGTGGGTTTGAACCACCTATCTTTTGATTTGAAGCGGAGTGCTTAACCACTGTGCCACCACCAGCACTCCTTTGATTGAGAGTACATACATTAAAAATAAAAAGAAAAGAAAAAGCACTAAGTGCCTATTAATAGTTCTTTTCAGAAAGCACCCAGCTTATTTTCTGAATCAACAGTTGGTGCTCAGTGATGTTAGGATTTGCAACGAAATGAACTAATTTGGGTGCTGTGTTAGTTTTACACAAAGAATAAAACTTTGACTTATGTTACACTACTTTTTTTTCTGATCCCAAAATAATGGCTAATAAAGAACATTTAAGTACAAAATTTATTGCAGTAACGAGATGAAAACAATTTCTTATGTAAACCAAAATAAACATTCATTTCATAAATCTATCAGTAGCTAGAAAAACCATCTATTACAAATACAAACTCTGGATAAAAGGCTAATGACAGAGCTAGTTTGGGGCAGCAAATGTGCTCCAACCCCCAGGGAACATCTCAGGATAGGATTACTCTCTTGGTTGAGGGGTAGAAAGAGATGATAAAAGAGGAATAATGAATTACATTGCTGATCAATGTCCAGTTTCCTATGGATGTCCACATGTGACCTTCCCATCCAGTTACATCAAACTTCAAATCGGATTCCCAATGGCAAGCTTTATGTAAAGGGACCAGGGTTTCCTTTTTTTATTGAGGGGTGAGGGGAATTACTCCTCTTTTAAAAAGATTGTGGTGAAAATACACACAGCAAAACATACAATTCATCAATTCAACAACTCACTGGCACTGACTACATTCTTCAGGTTGCACAGCCATTCGTGCCATCCTTTCCAAGGATCCCATCAACATTAACATCAACTCAGTGCCCCTAAGCAAAAACTCCCCTTTGCCCTTCACCTTACCATCACCATTAGTAATCCTTGGTTTCTATAGATTGCTTATTTCATATAAGTGAGAACATACATTCACTTCATACATACTTGCCTTTTGTGACAGATACTTTATTCAGCGTGTTTTCAAGGCTCATTCATGTGGCAGGCATCAGGACTTTAGTTCTCTTTATGGCTGTGTAATATTTCATTGTGTATGTAGACCACATTGTGTTTGTTCACGCATCTGTTAATGGACATTTTGATTGTTAACCTTTTGGCTGTTGGGAGCAGTGCTGCAGTGAACATTAGTGTACCAAGGCTTCCTTTTATGTAGCTACCTGTATATGTGGCAGGATATGTTCAATCTGTCCACTCCAGCAATGCCTGCGAAGAGGAGGACACAGATGTTCTGGTGCCCTGTCCCATCTTGACAGCCCTCTTCCCCTTTGAAGGGTGCACACCCTCCTTCTGCTGTCCAAGCCTCTCCTGTGCCAGTTGACCAAAGGCACCATCTTTTTCAACAATGTAATGATCAGATTAAAGGATCCTGTATGCCAGAAGAACTAGATGGTGCCCAGCTACCAATGCCAACCACTGGAAAAGGGATCAAAATTGGAGACCCTGTATAGAGTGGGAGAAGAATGTGGAACAAAACTGAAAAAAAAAAAAGACTAGGCTTAGTGGTCTGATAGAGACTGGTGAAACCAGGAAACTATGGCCTTAAGTCATGCTTCAGGCCTTGAATTTGTCTCACTCCCATGGCTTACCTCTCAGCCAAACAATATAGCCTATGAGTTGACCATTCACACCAGGGAGACACACTTCTTAGAACAATCAACCATGGGAGATCAGAAGGGCAGATTTGCTCTGGAAGAAAGCTAGGGGGGCAGGAAGGCAAGGAGGACATAGGGAAGGGGTAACAACAACAACAAAGATCCCACATTGTGAGGGTACCTAGGCAGAAAATACGAAAGACTTAGTTTCAAAAGAGAAGGCTGACCCTAATGCAACCTCTACTGTCTCTTTCTGGAGTAACTGAGGTTCCACTCCCACTGAAGGTCCATTTTCCCAACCAAACCAAATCCACTGCCATTAAGTTGATTCAGACTCATAGGGACCTCCATAGGGTTTCCAAGGCTATAAATCTTTACAGAAGTAGACTGCCCCATCTTTCTCCTGCAGAGCAGCTGGTGGGCTCAGACCTTAGACCTTTTGATTAGCAGCCAAATACTTTACCTACTATATGACCAGAGCTCCTCCATTTTCCCAAGGGGGCAAGAAATGTAATCTACTAGGAGGAAGGAAGTAAGACAGATCAGCCTAGCCAGACGTTTGAATAGATAGGTCCCCTACATTCCTCTCTGGACCCTTCTTCTCCAGCTTGGAAGTCACTGTATCATACTAGATAAGTTTAGTCATTCTTTGAACCTGTTTTATTCATCTATAAAATGGGAATCTCAGTGGGTATTGCTTAAGGATAGAATGAGAGCTAAAAGATAATGCACATGAAAAGTTTGTAACACAGAGCCTGCTGTCTAAAAGGCATTCTGTATTCACTGTATATTAAGGCCAGCATAAACTCCTTGTCTGATAGAGGAGGAATCTGAGCCCCAGAGAGAGAAAAGTCCTTGTCCAAGTTCAAAAACACCAGACTGTATCTCTTTTCACCACTGTGCCTCCAACTTGCCTTCTGTGTGATAAAAAACAAAATATAACAATGCTGAGGAGGCACCACTGATTTTTAAAATAAATGCCCAAGACTGAAAATGCATTGATCTGTATCTTGAGCAAAGGATTTTTTGTTAATAATTAAGGTACTTTATTATAGCCTCCAGGAGCTCTGGTAGCATAGTGGCTAAGGCACTTGACTGCTAACCAGAAGGCTGGTAGTTCAAATCACCAGCCATTCCTCGGAAGGAAGATGGGGCAATCTACTTCCATAGTGATACTGCCTCGGAAACCCAAGGAGGGGTCGCTATGAGTCAGGTCCGACTCGACGGCACATAACAACAACAACATTATAGCCTCCTGTCTTTCAAGTTCTAAGGAGTTATAAGGGGATTCTTTGAAATACAGATGCATAGAAAATGAGAGAGAGTACATAGAGAGTCCCTGGATGGAGCAAATTGGTAAGCACTCAACTACTAACCAAAAGGTTGGTGGTGTAAATCTATACAGAGGCACCTTGGTGATCTGCTTCCAAAAGTTCACAGCCATTGAAAACACTATGGGGCACAGGTCTACTCTGACATATGTGAAAATATATACCTATACACACACACACACACACACACACACACACACACACATATCCCCCCACTTATCAACATGGTTAGGTTTCAAACAAAGACCAGGTCTTTACACAAAAACTGGAGTCATATGAAACGGAGGATGACTATATCATTACATTACTGCTAAATTACATCATTGAATAACTGCCAAATTCCACCATTACATACATAACTGCCAAACCAGTGAGAATCATGGTCCAGGCAAGTTGACATATAACCTTAACCATCACAGCCAGTGTTACTCTCACCTCACACCTTGGCGTTTGTTACTGCTAAATAATCAGATAGTAAATTTTTTACCATTGTTGTAAATGAGAAAATTAGCTAACTGGACAGTTGATAAACAAGGAGTAGGTACATACATAAACCCAAAAAACCAAACTCACTGCCATCGAGTTGGTCTTGACTCATAGTGACCCCTCTTTGGGTTTCTGAGGTGGTATCTCTACAGAAGGAGATTGCCCAATCTTCCTTCCGAGGAGTGGCTGGTGGGTTTGAACCGCCAGCCTTCTGGTTAGCAGTTAAATGCCTTAGGAATTATGCCACCAGAGCTCCCAGGTATGTATGTATGTGTGTGTGTGTGTGTATGTATAATTTTTCAAGACTTATGTCTGATTCTATATTAACACAATCTATGACTAGCACAAATTCTTTCCTCCCAGAATTGTGTCTTGTGAATTTTCAAACATTCTGTCAATTTGAGTATCTGCTTATATGAGGACCTCATTGTGTTTAAACAATTTTCAGGGGAACTTTTAGAGTCATGTTCCCTTCAGACAGAAATGAAATAGATATGGTTAAAATAAAATCATCTAACATGACACACATGGATCTCAGGCAGATCTCCCACGGTGTGAAGCCCTGGGTTACTCTGGTAAAGTGGCAAATGGACAAAATTATGAAGCCAGCTAACAAGGCTTGAGCAACTCACTGATAAACAACATTGACCCTTCATTTCCAGCGGACTTTCCCTTTCTAATTATTAGGTAAGGCAGTAACTGAGGTCATGTGGCTATCCCAATGAACCAATGGCTATATTCCTCCCTGCTGGGGCAGAGACAAGTGGAGGAGACTTGAGAGGGTGCAGAGAGCAGGGTTCTCAGAAGCAGTACCTCTATAGCCTGTATGGGTTGGGCACAGTAGGAAATGACCATGCATAGTGCTGACCATGCCCTCCAGGCTCCCATCTGTCCAGCCACATCTGAGTATGTCTGCGAAGTGTCACTGCTGTCCCAGGGCATCCCCATGGCTGCTCCAGCACAGACCCCTGGCCCAGCTTCTCCACCCAGGGCCCCTCGACTGAATTCAGTCAGCAGCTGATCTTGGTGAGGGTGTGTCCCGGCGCTGGGACCTTCCCTGCCTTCAGCATCCCCAACCCTGCTCCTCAGTAGCCTTGGACGTGGTTGCAGCTGCCATGTCTGTTATGGACTCCTCGTAGGGTGGAGGGGCCTCTGGCTGGGCCTCGATTTCACTGCCAACGTCAAGGTGCATCTCTGTGTACAGTGGTGGGGGGATCTCTGAGGCTGCTCCCCTGGCATGACAGATCTGCTTGTCTGCATCAAGGCTCTCTGCATAGGCTGGAGGGTAGAAATCTGGCCTAGATGACAAAGCACACCACAAAACACACATGTGTTACTGAAGCCATTCATGCCAAAGCAGCATATGTCTGTCTTTCTCAACTCACACTTGTGTGAAGTTAAACTGTTAAGAAACATTAATTCTAGACAGATGCACTCCTTCCCTGCATCGCCAGGTTTTGTAAATGTGCTGCTTTTCTGGCAAAACCCTCTTTCCCCCCATAGGATACGTGTCTCCTGTCATAGTTTCCTCATCTATTCCTAATTTTCTGGAAGAAAGGCCTGGCAGTCTACTTCCAAAACTCAGCCAATGGTTTGAATCACAATGGTCCAATACTATTGTGGTGGGGTCACCATGAGCTGGAGGCCTACTTGATGGCACCTAACAGCAACAACAACACCACTCCTAATTTTCCATTGCCTGTCATACTGTGGTGGCTTGCCCATTTCTGTGATGCTGGAAGCTCTGTCAAATACCAACAGGGTCATCCAAGGTGGACAGGTTGCAGTGGTGCTTCCACACTAAGATAGACTAGTGATCTACTTCTGACAATTAGCCAATGGAAACCCTATGCATCCCAACAGAATATTATCTGGTAGAGAGCTAGATGCACCCCTAGCAACCTAGGAGCAACAACGGACTCAGGTATATCAATGACTGTGAGGATGGTGCAGGACTTAGTAACGTTCCATTCTGTTGTGCATGGGGTCACCATGAATCAGAGCTGACTTGGCAACTAACAACAAATTCCTGATGCAAGGCTATTTCCTCTCTCTTGCTTACACATGGAACCAGGGACATTAGTGTGAGGTCCTTATCAGGGTTAGGAGACTGAAGGACCTTGACTGTAGGTAGATCTTATCTGTCTAGTTCTTTAATCCACCCACATCCCCATTCAACACATCATCTTGTACTCAGCTGTCTGGAAGCCTCACAGCTAACAAAGGAATGAATGAAAGCCAACTACACCAGATGTTCCCCTTGCCCACCACTCTTTCAAGTTCGGCAGCTAGTTTCAAAGAAGACACATAACTACCCTATTTCCCAAATGACAGCTTTATGGCGATTTCCACTGACAGCTTTATGGCTATTTCAGTCATAGTCCTTTCTGTGCCAAGAGGCCAATGGCTAAGAAGCCATCCACTCCAAAGCTGATGTACTCATTGGCAGCTTGGCCCACCAGGCTGATTGATCTTGGCCCATTGCTCAGTGCTGAACCCTTTGGTTTCTCTGTCATAAACAGAGTTGAGGATAGTATGGCAGTTATGTTTGTGTGTCAACTTGGCTGGGCCTTGTTTAGTGGCTGGGCAGTTGGTGGTAGTTATTCCCCATAATGAGACTGGCAATCAACTCCATGGTGGGATCTACCACAAGCAGTTGAGTAGCTGCCTTTGGGATGTGGTCTGCTTCCTGTATATAAGGAAGCCTTGGGAATGGTCTCTAGTTTATGGCACGCTTGGACCCTGCATGTAGCCGTGTTGTTGTTCAGCAGCCTGCCATGCTCTGCCCACCTTGGGACTTCCAATGGACTTAAATTACTGGCCTGCCATGTGGTTTGGTAACATCAGGACTGTGCCTTTTTACTTGTCAACCTTGGGCTTCTCAGCCTCAGCAGCCAGAAGCTGTCTGAGGGAAAAACAACTCTAGCTCCAGTTGGCCAGGAGCAGGAGGCAGAGCTGAAGCCGAGGGGCTTTCACCCAGCTCCTAGAGTCTGGCACTTCGAATTCAGACTTAAAGCCTCCAATCTATAAGAGCATAAACTTTTGTTTGTTAAAGCCATCCCATTTGTGGTATATTCTTGTTAGAGCAGCTCTAGGTAACCAGAGCAGGTAGGGTGGAGGTGAGGAAGATGGGGATGGAGTGGTGGTGGTGAGGGGTGGAGATAAGCTTGGTTGAGTTGTGTATTTATAGAGCCAGTCCTGCCAGGGCCTTTGGAGAGTGTTTGTGGTTGGTGAGCACAACAGAACAGGGGATAGCCATGGCTCCACTCCAAATGGCAGCAGGCCCAAAGCCAAACAGCTGGAGGAACTGTCTACTGTACAGTGTAAATCGCAGTCTTTACCAGGTGTTGCAGGCAGAAAGGTTGGCTCCTGCCTGGAGGGATTTGAGAGGCCCAGGGTGTCTATCACCTGCTCTAAAATCCCGTTCTCCTCACCCAATGCCCTCTCTCCTCTTGCTACTGCCATTCACCTTCCCAGAGCCTGGGATCTACCATTAGAGATGTATTTGACTCAGGGAACTCCATGTTACCAAGTAGAATAGAGCTCCATAGAGTTTTCTTGGCTGTAATCTTTTCACAGAAGCACGTCACCAGACCTTTCTTCTGTAGCACCACTATGTGAGTGTGAACTACCAGTCTTTCAGTTAATCATTTGCACACCCAGGGTCTAGATAGATACATAGATAGATTCTTTGAAGCTGTGACATTTGGGGCTTCAGAAGAATGTAAATGCGTCTGTGAAATGTAACTTCCTACATTCTTTGATTTACTAATTATTACAAATAATGACTAATTATTAATAATTACTAAATTGATAATTGATCATTGTTGTTAGTTGCCATTAAGTCAGTTCTGACTCAGGGCTACCCCATGTGTTACAGAGTTGAACTGTGCTCTATAGGTTTTCAAGCCTGTGATATTTCAGAAGCAGATCTCCAGGCCTGTCTTCTGAGGCACCTCTGGATGGGTTCAAGCCACCAACCTTTTGGCTAGTGGTCAAGTGCCTAACCGTTTGCCCTACCCAGGGACTCCTTGATCATTAGTTAATTACTGATAATTAATAATGACTAATTATCGATGAACTGTCCTAGTAGATACAGCAGGAAGGGACAGTAAGATAGGAGTATCATGATGTTCATAATTTACTTAAACATATTTCAGCATAATGATTTACTTTTAGACACAATGAGTTACTTTTATTAGGAATTCACACTCTGGAGGTAGTCATCTAACATATACACACACAAAAATAGAAAGAAACCTCATTCTAGAAGCATCTTCAATCACTTTTCATTCTCTACCTTCAAGTCGGACCCGACTTATAGGGACCCCTCCTTGGGTTTCCAAGGCGGGTATCTCTACGGAAGTAGGTTGCCCAACCTTCCTTCTGAGGAGTGGCTGGTGGATTTGAACTGCCAGCCTTCTGGTTAGAAGTCAAACGCCTTAGGCATCACCGATCACTTCAGTTACTTATATATATATATATAAATCAAACCCAGCAGCCTTACTAGTTAGTACAATAAGCACTGGAAATGGGTTTTAGTTGTCATAATTTGTATCTTTTTAATTAGTGTAATGGATATAAAAAGTGGACTGCCAGTGGTAACATTACTTGTATTCAAGATATGTGGAGTTGCTGAAATGTTTTAGACATTCCTTTTCCTTGCACGAAGAAGACAAAAGAATTTATGAATGTTTGCATCTTAAGAAGGATGTCTTAGGTTTTATCCTCAGGTCCCCAGTTTTATCATAAGTGGTTCCAGGGTAAGTTTTCTGGTTGCCTGGTAGACTCCTTGGATTGTGCAAATGATTAGCACACTTGGCTGCTAACTGAGAGTTTGGAGGTTTGAATCCACCCAGAAGTGACTCAAAAGAAAGGCCTGGTGATCTACTTCTGAAAATCAGCCCTTGATACTCAATGGAGCACAGCTTTACTCTGACACCCATTGGGTGATCATGAGTTGGAGTCAACTCAATAGTAACTGGTTGGTTGCCTGAACTAACCATTTGATTGGCTGAATCTTATAGACTATCTCCACCTTGCTGGTCATGAATCTTCCATCCAAGCTGTGCTCAGAACACCTTAAAGGAGCATAAGCTTACAAAGAGGTTACATGACTGATTCCATGGCTGTTGGCTAATTTGTTATGTGTGGCAGAGTTTGGTCTGGGACTTGCTTTCCTCATCACCTGGTGGTCAGATTATGGAGTATGACTAGCCATCACTCACCTCTGACCAATGACAGCTTCCATGATACAACAAAGAATCTGAGAGTTGGTCCTCTTAAATTGTGTTAAGCGAATTTTCACCTGTGAGCATAACAGTTTCTCTAAGATAAATCCTCTCTGCTGTTGTTAGCTGCCACTGAGTTGGCCCTCGATTCATGGTAACCTATGCAACATAGTAAAACTGCCCCGTAGGGATTTCTTGGCTGCCATCTTCATGGAAGAAGATCCCTAGGCCTCTCTTCCATGGAGCCTCAAACCACTTCCACTGCCCAGGCTCCTTAATTCCCTGTACTTCATGGCTTTCCCCAAATGTGGCAACATTCTTCCTAAAAGACACACTGCTGAGTAACCCCTCAACAATGAAACTTAAGTTCTAGGCACACAACGAAGGAGCCCTGGTGGCGCAACTGTTAAGCTCTCAGCTATTTTCTGAAAGTTCAGTGGTTTGAACCCACCCAGCAGAACCATGGGAGAAAGACCTGGTGACCTGCTCCTGTAAAGAGTACAGCCAAGAAAACTCTTTGGGGGCAGTTCTACTCTCTAAGAAGCCCATGTGGTGCAATGGTTAAGTGCTCGGCTGCTAAAATTTTGGTGGTTTGAAACCACCAGCCACTCTGCAGGAGAAAAGTTTTGGTGATCTACTACCATAAAGATTCACAGCCTAGGAAACACTATGGAGCAGTCCTACTATGTCCTATAGGGTAGCTATGATTAAGCACACACTCATGGGCCTCAACAGGAGACATACAGCCCTATGGGATTTGCCTCATGGCATGACTAGAAGCCACTCTGCTTTCCCACTACGCAGCCCCACTCTCAGCCCTTCTTCTTCCCTTTGGCTTCTCTGCACGTACCTGTCCACTGTGGCCAGGGCCAGGTCCCTCTGAGCAAGGTGTTGTCTGAGCACATGGCTGAACATCTTTTTGCTTTTGCTTGCCTGGCGGTAGGTGCTCCAGAAAACTCCACTCAGAAGGATCACAAAGCCCAAAGGCAGGAGCAGATAGGCTATAATCAGAGTCCCCTGGTAGTTGAACAGGGAGCCTGAGGAGATGAGGAAGGCCCCCAGGCAGATGAACAGGAAACCCGTGAGCAGCATGAAGGCACAGAGAACAAGGCTGGTCATGGGCTGCATCCTTGCTTCGCTGGGACCTGGCACTCCGACCCTGCCACTCCCTACCTCCCTTGAGCTCAGAGACAGTGCTCTCATTAGCTGGCTTACAGCTTTATGCACTCAGGGACCAACTGGCCTTTGGACGATGAAATGAAGCAGGCTCTTGGAAGCTATTTATTAACCATCGGAAGTAACTGTAATAGCCTTGGAAGATTAACCTAAAACATGGCAAGTTGATGAAGGCGTGGTTTCTCCTAGCTATTATACTCTTTTCTGAACTGAGGGCCTGCAGCTGATTTGAGGGGAGGCCCTGCACTCTTTGGTTGAAAGGGCATTGGTCTCTTAATCCTCATGGTGGATAATCTCGCCACTAAAAACTGGAGAAGTCGGCATTTCTTGATCAGCTATCTGCTGTGTTTGGCAAGGTGTCCTTTCGTTCTTCTTCATTTTTCTGTACTAAGAAGGCATTTCTTTAAGGCTTTTTAACATTTTCATTTTGCTCCCCTCAATGAATCTCCAGGAGCTCTGGTAGCATAGTGCCTAAGGCACTTAACTGCTAACCGGAAGGCTAGCTGTTCAAATCCACCAGCAGCTCCTTGGAAGGAAGGTTGGGCAATCTACTTCTGTAGTGATACCGCCTCGGAAACCCAAGGAGGGCTCTCTATGAGTCGGGTCTGACTTAATGGCACATAACAACAACAACAGCAATGAATCTCCCATTATTGCCCCACACTGTGGTATTGGAAAGGTCCCTGGATGGTGCAAACAGTCTGCACTCAACGGCTTATCTATCAGTGGGTGGTTCAAACCCATCCAGCAGCACCGCAAAAGAAAAGGTCTGGTGACCTGCTTCCATTAAGGGGCAAAACACATTGCTGTCAAGCTGATTCCAACTCACAGTGACCCTATAAGGCAGAGTAGAACTGTCCCATAGGGTTTATGGAAGCAGACTACCACATCCTTTTCCTGTGGAGTGGCTGGTGCATTTGAACTGCTGACCTCTTGGTCAGTAGCCAAGAGCTTAATTACTGCACCATAACCAAGAAAATCTTATGGAGCAAGTGTACTCTGTAACTCATGGGGTGGCCATGAGTCAAAATCTACTCAATAGCAACAAAGAACAACAGCAACAGCAACATGGTGCTGGGAAAATTCCAAGAGAAAAGCCCTCGGTGACTCCCTGGTTCCTCTTCCCAGTGGACCAGAAGGTGAGCAGAGGGGAAGGAGGTGCTGGAGAGAGGGATGACTTGAGAATTAGGGGCATTTCTGGAGATGTCAGGCACGAGATAATTGGCCAGGTCACATCTGTTCTGATTCTGCTTTAGAATCTTTCTCACTGTTGCAGTCCACATGCTGAGATCTCAGGAGCACTTGTGGTTAACATCCAGGTGGTTGACAGACATTGGTTGCTGACTGCTCAACCACCAGCACCCACACCTGACTTACCTAGAACCAAGTCATGCCTTTCCTGCCCACAGCAAGGCCACATTCTTTCAATAAAAGAGCATTCCCCAAGGTGTGTAGGATGCCACCCCCTCCATGCAATACAAATAAATGCATGTTGGAAGTACTGCCTGTTAAGTCCCCACCCTCATTAACATACACCCTTAGGGCTTCACAGAGCACCTGAGTGTATTAATGACTCTGATAAGTCCTGCAATCACCCCTACCTCATAAAATGCATAACCAAACCAACTATTTGCCATTGAGTCAATTCCAACTCATAGCGACCCCACGTGTGCCAGAGTAGAACTATGTTCCACAGGTCTTTCAATGAATGATTTTTTTTTTTTAATGGTGATTTGGGTGAAAAGTTACAGAGCAAATTCACTTTCCATACAGCAGTTCACATATACTTCATCTCATGACATTGACCACAATTTACCACAATGCAACAGCTCCCCTCCCACTTCTTCCCGATAGTTACCTCTTCCCTATGTCCATCACTCAATGGATGATTTTTTAGGGGCAGATTGTCAGGCTTTTCTGCCAAGGTGCCTCTGGGTGGACTTGAACCACCAACATTTAGGTTAATCAAATGCATTAACTGTGTGCACCACCTCCAAACTAAATCCACAGCTATTGAGTTGATTCTGACTATAGGGAACACAACAACATAGGGAACTCTGTAGGACAGTGTAGAACTGCCCCACAGGGTTTCCAAGGCTGTAAATCTTTATGGAGGCAGACTGCTACACCTTTCTCCTACAGAGTGGCTGGTGAGTTCGAAACCCTGACCTTTCAATTTTGCACCTGAATGCTTAACCAGTATGCCACCAGGGCTCCATTATTTAGCATTGCTGCAAAGAATCTTCCCAGAACCAGCCTACTGTTTTGTGTCCGAAGTTTTTGTTTTCTTCCATCTTGAGTCCTCAGTTGTAGGCACCCCTTTCCGGATCTGGTCCATCGCCTGTCTACTGCCTTATTCATTTGATGCTTTGGTGTGTCACTGACAAGAATTCCCAGCCCAGAGACTCAAGGTCACCTTTGTCCAGAAAGGTTGTCCTCAGTTCCTCTTTGCTACCCCTAAGATCCATTAACTCATTGCATGATTTTCCATTTACTTTCTAGTGTGGGAAGCAGTTCTTTGTACAGTTCTCATTAGTTCCCCGTACACCCCGTTGGGCTCACACTCAGCATCTCCTCAGCTCTATCTTAATGTTGTGGGATAGAAGAGGAAGTAAGAACAAAAAGATGGAAGGCATTTCCTCATTCTCCCCTCCAAGCCCCACCTTTACTAACTTCAGTTCCTATTTTGAACTATTTTCATCTTTTAGTCTTCATATAACCCCCCTGCTTTTTTTTAAAAAAAAAAATTTATTGTGATTCGGGTGAAAGTTTACAGAGCAAATTCATTTTCCGTACAGCAGTTCACATACACTTTGTCTCATGACGTTGACTGCAATTTCGCACAATGCAACAGCTCTCTTCCCATTTGTGATATAACCCTTTTAATCTTTATGATTATTATTAATCTTTTATTGTATTTTCGGTGAAAGTTTACACACCCATTTAGGTCTTCATTCAACAACGTCTACACAGGTTGTTCAGTAACATTTTTACCTTCTCTGCAATTTGTGAACATTTTCATTATTTCCATCCTGGTTCTTCCATTTCTATTAATCTAGTTTCCCTACATCCTTACATTCTTATCTTTGTTTTAAAGTAATTATTGACCATTTATTCTCATATAACTGACTTTTTTTTTTGAAGGAGCACAGTACTTACAGGTGATAGTCATGATTTTTCAGTCAATTTATTATTTGCTACAAGGTGACCTTGGGGGTTTGTTTGAAGACTATCTCAGGGCAATAGTCTTGGGGACTCCTCTAGGCTCAATGCTTTCAGTAGGTCTTTTTTTTTTTTTCCTGTTGTTGTTTGTTTGTTTGTTTTAGGTTCTGCTCCATATTTTTCTCCCATTCTATCAGGGTCCATCTAGTATGGCCCTGATCAGAATGATCAGTAGTGGTAGCTGAACACCATCTAGTTCTTCTGGTTTCAGGGTAGATGAAGCCATGTGTCATGTAGACTTTTTGTCCTGTAGACTAGTTTCTTCTTTGAGTCTTTGGTGTCCTTCTTTCTCTTTTGCTCTGGACTAGTAGAGACCAATTGTTTTATCTTTGATGGCTCCTCATAAGTTTTTAAGACCCCATACCCTTTTAATCAAGGACACTTGGTGGTACAGTAGTTAAAGTGCTTTGCTTCTAATAGAAAAGTCAGTGGTTCAAACCCACCAGCTGCTCTTTGGGAGAAAAATGTGGCGGTCTGCTTCCCTAAAGATTTACAGCCTTGGAAATCTCATGAGACAGTTCTTCTCTGTCCTATAGGGTCACTGTGAGTTGGTTTCATCTAGATGGCAATGGGCATGCCCCCTTTTAATCTTAAAGCTGCCTTTTCTCTCTCTACAATTGGACCTTGCAGTAGCCAGAATTCTAAGATGGCCTCCAATGATCTCTGCCTCCTGGTATTCATGCCTTTGTGTGATCCCCTCCCCTTGAGTGTAGTGGGAGCTGATAGCTGACCAATAGAACACAGTAAAGGTGATGGGATGTCACTTCCATGATTAGGTTACAAAGGGTTGTAACTTTTATCTTGCTAGTAGACCCTCTCTCTTGCCTTTTTGGCTTGCATGGTTTGAAGAAGCAAGTTACTAGTGGTGGAGAGGTCTATACAGCAAGTAATAGAGGGTGGCCTTTGGCCAATAGCCAGTGAAGAACTGAAGGCCTCAGTCCATCAACCCTATTGAATTCTGCCAAAAGCCACATGAACTTTGAGTCAGAGCCTTTCCCAGTCAAGCCTTGAGATGACTACACTTCAAACAATACCTTGATTGTAAACTGTGGCACAACCTGAAGCAGGCCAGATCCTCAGAGTTGGGGAACAATAAAAACTGAAACCAATGAAAACCCACTCAAACACCAAGAAATAGACTTCAAGAGTCAATTTTAGTAGACCTTTTAACTTTTGCCTGGGCTTTCTTACACTAACCCTACCTTCTGAGTCTGCCAGTCCTCCCAAGCAAACTCTCCTATTCCTGACCACCTTGCTGAGTGATTTCTGGATAGTCTTTCACACTTGAGTGCCACTACCTAGCATTCCCATGGCATTCTACTTAAAGGTGAAGACAGAAGGACAGGAAGCTTGATGATCACCTAAATTCAGATAGGCAGCATAGGTCCATGGGAAAATGGCCACCCTGGGAGAAGGACAAATAGAGGCCCACCCTTCTACAAAGTTCTAGGCCCCAGTGGAAGCCAAGCCATAGTCCTCCTATCCCAATTTCCATCCCTTCCACAAGCAATTCCCTTAAGAAGTCATACATGGCTTTTATTTCTTTATTTACATTATTTTATTTACTCAAGCAAACATATATCCATTCACAATTTCTCCATGAACAAGTCAATGCCCTTGCTTACATCCTTCATGTTCTTTCACTACCATATTGTTTCATCACCATTAATTTAGGCTTCCTGCCCCTTACAGTTTTCTTATATGCTTGGATGAACTGTAGTCCGTTAACA